CCGTTATCAATGACATCTAATGTCCATAGTCAGGAAACCATGACTATCTTTTGATCAACGAGCTAGTCAACTAGAGGCTCACTAGGGACGTGTTGTGGTCTATGTATTCACACATGTATTATGATTTCTGGATAACACAATTATAGTATGAACAATAGACAATTATCATGAACAAAGAAATATAATAATAAACATTTTATTATTGCCTCTAGGGCATATTTCCAACAGATTGATAATGACATAAATTACAATTAGGAAAAACTAAATGCTCACGGGTGCACCCCTACTGGTGGTTTTTTGGACTATGGATAAATGATCTCAACTTCTTGCAGCAGTCTGGCATAGACATATGAGGCATCCATGTCAGGTTTGAATGACTTTCGACACGGTTTGCACGTTGCGACACATCCAACCATTTACGGTCCCTTCTCATCGAGAAAACTCCAGAAAATACAAAGCTTGTCAAAAATCCAAACAACATGGCATGATTTCTTGAATTGGTCATAGAACCTGATGGAAGGAATTAGGTCCATTCAATGGATGTCGAAAAACAACGTGCTTTCAGACGGATCCTTCTGTTCTCTACCCAAAGGTCCTTCGTTGAACATGGTCTATTTTTAGACATGCTTAAAATGAACCAAACTTTTATAGGGAGGTGGGCATGCCCATTTTAAGCGTTCATGCCTGGTTTGAACTACTTTCTACACCGTATGCAAGTTGTGACACATCCGGCCATTTATTGGTCTTTTTTAACTGAGTAAACTCAAGAAAATGCAAAACTTGTTGATAACTCAAACAACTTGGCATGGTGCATTGAATTGGTCACACGAGGCCATGAAAAAAATGAGGACATTTAAGGGATGTCGAGAAACTAGGTGCTCTCAAACAGACCCTTTACTTGAAAACTCTTCGTTAAGCATGGTGTTATTCTAAAAACCTCAGCACTGACCCCAAATTTTTGCAAGCACGTGGGCATGCACATGCTAGGCATACATGCCTGGTTTGAATGATTTTCGACACCGTATACACGTTACGACATGCCCGGCGATTTATCAGCCTTTTTCACCAGAAAAACTACAGAATATACAAAACTTGTCAAAAACCCAAACTACTTGGCTTGGTGCCGTGTATTGGCCATACAAGGATTTGAAAAAAATGGTGCCATTTGATGGATATTTGAAAAGAATGTGTTCTCGAACGGAGCCTTCTGATGGATATTTGGATGCACTGCATTGAAAATGGTGTTTTTGGACATCATTGAAAATGACCTTAACTTTTACAACTAGGTAGTCACCCATGGTAGGCATCCATGCATGGTGTGAACGAATGCCGACACATTATGCAAGTTGCGACACGTCCAATTATTTATCGACCTTTTTTCACCAAGAAAACTCCAGAAAATGTAAAACTCGTTGAAAACCCAAACAATTTGGCGTGATGCCTTGAATTGGTCATAAAAATCCACGAATTATTTTTTGGGGCCATTACAAGGATGCCTAGAAACAATGTACTCTTAGACAAAGTCTTCTGGCACATCCTATGAATGGCGCTGTCTAATTGACGCTACTCCCCGAATGTACGGAATTTCATCACTCTTTATAAAATGTTTTAGAATTACAAAATTTGTTCGTGTTTTCATAAAAGTTCAGCATCCCAAAATTTTCTCATGTGAACATTTTTTTTCATAATTTCTATTTTCTCCTATTTTTATAAATGAGTTCGGAATTTCAAAACGTGCTCTAGTTTTTCAAATATTATTCGTGTTTTCAAAAAAAGTGTTCTCTTATCAAATATTGTTCACAGATTCAGAACATGTTCCTATATTAGAAAAAGTTCGTGGATTTCAGAAAATGTCTGTCCTCTCAAATTTTGTTTTATAATTTCAGAAATTGTTTCTGTTTTAAACTTTTGTTTACATAACCTAAAAAATATTTGGTATTTAAAAGTATTCAAAAAAAATCAGTGAAATGCAGAATTTTGTAAACGTTGTCTTGAAACAAAAAACTCTGCTTCTGAACGTGTACATAAGACGCCTGCGCTGCCTTAAGACCACATGGAGCTGATCTATCTAGTGGCTAGCAGCTCTTGTTCAAAAAAAATAGTGGCTAGCAGCTCCAATTTACTACTCGATGGTTGCGAGTTTGAATCTACTCGCTGCGCGTCCCAGTTTTATTTGAATTTTGCGCCTCCATATGTCGGTTCATGTTAGTGGGCCGGCCCAGTAGTGGGTCCTCTCCAGATGTATGGCGTACAAGTCCTCGTGAATAATCCACCGTACATAGGGGAGTGGGTATGAATTGTGAAATGCCCATATTACCCTTTATATGTTTTGTAAAGAGGTTGTAACAAAGCGGGACTACTTTGGTATAACCTCCTAAACACATCAATAGAGGAGATCTTTCCATACCCCTCCATAAAAGCTGAAGAGCTGGAGACAGGGCCGTTGATGGAAGGGGCCGAGGTGGGCGACCACCCAGGGCCCCCAAATATTTGGGGCCCCCCTAGTCACTAAGTATTAATCTACTAGCTGTAGGTTTAAAATCAGGAAAAATAAAGCTCATGAGCCCATTCGCCCAAATCAGCACGTATAACAGGCCTCGTTTTTAATTGATCGATTCCAAGCCAGCCCATGAGGTCTAGAGAATAAATCAATTGATCGTTTTTCTGCCATAGTGCATCCATTGCTAATAGGCCCCAACAACGCCCGTTGGTTTTGCTTCCTCCGACCGCCCACCAGAGACTACGGTGCCAGATCTACCTGAATGCCTGCCTGCTTCGGCGTCCGTCGATCGCCCACGGCCTGTCAATTACGAGCGCCATCACCTCTGGTCTTCCACTATCAGGTAATAAGTTCATTTGTTTTGATTAGATTAGGTGGGAAGTGCCGAATGAGGCTAGGATTAGGACACAATTAAGTTTGAACTCAGTAGTTCTTGATTTTTTTGGTTGTTGGAAAATCATCATATATGTATTGTGTGATTATTTAGTTTGACCCTATTGTAAATTTAGGGTCCTATTTTGATTTTCGCCCCGGCCCCCGGAGCCCCAAATTTCTGGAAACGGCCACATCTGCTGTCTACTATATCGAGCCGGTCGAACCCCAATATGCTGGGCCACGCACGTACGAGTAGTTGTCATGGCCGGCCCAATCATAGGGAGTACACCCGAGGAAGCCCAGCTTTTTACAGAAATCGTCCCTTCTTTTTTTGCGAATGAGTCAAGTACATTGATAGTGCTAGAACTTGATGCAAACGATCATTTTTTGTGATAAAAGTTGTGGTATACATCAAAGTGATGCAAAAACTTGGTTTTGACGTTTAAATACAGTGCTTATCTCGTTTTGCATACGAAAGCAGCGCTGACTAGCACATGGGCCCGCTGTCAGCCACAGGACCCGGGACGGGGTGTGTGACTTGTTTTTTTTTTCAGAAACACCCTTGAAATATATATCTTTTTCACGAAAAAAACCTGTTGGCGTGGGAGGTGTCAACTTTTCACCTCTATGACCAGAGGGTCCCACCTGTTAGGTGTGAGCGGAAATTAAACAAAACATGCGACCTACAGGTCTTGAACCCTCACCCAGTGGTTGGTAGCAAGCCAGCTGTACCACTACAACAGTCACGTTGCCTTGCTTGCAATGGATAACAACCGTATATCAGCACATCATGTGGAATTTAAACGGGCTACAGATACTGCGGCCCATTTTACACCAGTTCAATTTTTTCCTTTATTGTAGAAAGTATGTAAATTATAATCTCAGTACCAAAATAAATTTTAAATATTTCTGTGCATAAGTATTGTACATACGAACGAAATAACTTATTTTTAAAAATTGTTCACTTATTATTTCGAAAATAATCATATATTGAAAATAATATTTGTGACTTACACAAAGATTGTATGATTTAAAAGAATGATTAAGATGTTTTTAGAATTACAATTCAAAATATTATTTTAGTTATACAAACATTTCAATCATTCGCACGTTTGTATAGTTCAATGTTTGTATAATTGAAGATATTCATAATTTACTTTAAACTGTTGATATTAATATTATTTTTTAATAATTTAAATATAAGCCACGTGTGTGTGATACTTTTTATTGATTAAACATTTGTCCATATTAACTAGTTATTTTTTATATAATACACGAATGTATACTTCAGTGTGTTTTATTTAATAATCATCGTTTGTTCGTCTAATATTTATAACACACAAATATTTTAACGTAACGTTTTAGGGAAAAAAATAAACAAACCGGTGAAAATTGCGCTGCAATATCGGCAGCCATTTTTGCATCCCTCTTAATTAAATATAAGGTCCCTATCCAAATGCAACATAGTAGCGTGATTGGTGCAGTGACTAGCCGGCTTGCATTCTAGGTGCTGATCGTGGGTTCTATACCGTGCGGCTTCAAATTTTGTTAACACTCTCTCCCGACACGCGGGACCCACTGGTCTTAGAGGTAAAAAAAATAAATCCCATGTCAACAGTTGTTTTTTTGTGAAAAAATATATTTTGAGGGTGTTTCTGAAAAGAACAAGTGACACACCAGTGATTGACAGGAGGCCCCACGCGCCTAGTCAGCGTCAATTCCATATACAAGCGAGACAAGCACTGTATTTGCACGACAAAGCCAAGTTTTTGCACCACTTTGATGTATGCCACAACTTGTAGCACTAAAGTGACCGTGTACGTCAAGTTCTAGCACCATCACTGTAATTGACTCTTTGCGAATCTTGTTGTCATTTTACTGCCGTGGCTGGCGCTAATTGCAGCATGACATATACAGCAGTGATGCACGCAGAAAATCTTGATTCAGAATTCATCGATTAGGAAGGAGAGCAATCTCCGGATGCAATCACGGGCAGATCGACACCCACACGCCAGCGCACTGCGCAGGCGTAGCCCTATATAACGCGCCACCCAAAATGAAACGCACATCACTATCACGACTCATCAAGACGATAAATCCTCTGTCGAGCGTAACAGTCATTCCCATGGCGCCGCCCGCAAGATCATCGGCGCCTTTGTTCCTCCTCCTCGTTGTTCTCCTCGTCGCCGCACGGCGCTCCGCCGGTGATGACGACTTCTCTCCACGTACGTACCCATGTCGTTTTCTCGATCGCACATGCATATACTTTACATCTAGATCGTACGTCTGACCGATGTTGATCTGATTTGGCGGCGGCTCGGTGATTTGTATGCAGCGCAGGTGCAGCCGTTGGACCCCAAGTGCCAGGAGATGACGGAGATGTGCACCCCGGCGACGTGCACCAAGCTCTGCCTCAGCATAGGGCTGGGTAAAGACGCCGACGGCGGGTTCTGCACCTTCCATGGCATGCAGTTCTACTGCTGCTGCCCCATACCCGCCCCCGTCCCGCCGCCCTCAAGGCTCTGATTTCAAGTTTCTCAAATGATCTTGTGGCCGGATTCCAGTGCTATCAGGAATTCAGGATGATAGCGGGATCTTGGGTTGATCTGAGCAAGGAATGTTTGTGTCGATCCGTGTGATCACCTACCCTGAGTCAATAATTGAAATTATTAAACATATATGATTCCTGTTACATTCTCTGTCATTAAAGATGTAGGATTCAGTTTGAAAGGGCCAGCTATACAACTTGTTAGAAACTTGTGAGAAAAATGGCCTCGGTTGATTTGCTCCTCACTTCTTCTCCGTCGCCGGCAGCACACCATCGACCCGTTTTCCGCCTCTGGTCGAACGACACATCCCACCACCGACAATACCTCCACCGCCTCGCCGTCGCCACCCTAGACATCCCTCTAACCCCCTTCCACTTTCTTCCCAGACGCCGATGACGACCCAACATACAAGGACGAAACTAGAAAATAAAACCGACTGTGTCATCTCTACTGCACCGCTTCGTACTAACTGAGCTAGGATAAATCTTTCATAACTTTTTGTCAAACATAAAATATTTTTAGTATTTATGTCAGACAAAAAATTCTGAAAGATTTATCCTAAATTCTAGTTAGAAAGTTTTGCCACGCTGCAAAGGTTTGAACTTCAAGACATGTTCTATGTGAGGGAAACAAAAAAAAATGTATTTGCGCGAATCGTGATGCGGGAAATGAATGGTTAGATAAGGAGGGTCTGAGTGCAGGTGCTCTATTATATGTTTTCGGTCATTCGGGTCAGTTGACCTCAGTCCCATAAAGGCAGCATTCGCATCGATCCACGCATATCAACCCTCAGACTCCCCTTGGCCGTCGACACTGGTCGTCCCCGTCTTGAGGTCACTTTTGGCTTCGCCTCGCCTGGAATGCCGCGTCGTCCCGATCTCCGCCTCGCGCCTATTCTAGTTTCAGGCCAATGCGGTTTTAAAAATATCCAAATCGGCAAATAGTAGAAGAATGTGTGCTCGAGTAATGTTAGATTTCTCTGCTGTCTTCGCCCGGCTGCGGTCGGCCTGGCCCGTGCTGGTTCCGGCTTTTCTCATGGAAACCTTAGGGCCTGCATGCGTGGGCCGACACCTCATGATCTCAGACTAGAGTTTTCCTATTTGCCGCTTATTCTGCAGACTGCCGCCGTATCGCACACATAGGAGGAATGAGTGGGCCTTTTCGTTTTGCTTTTTCTAGCCTTTTCATATTTTCTGTATGTTTTCTTTTACTGGTTTTTGTGGTTTACCATTTTTTATTTTAGTTCTTCGTTTTCTTTTTCTGCTTTTTTTGAATCGTGATTCTTTAAAGAAATGTGATGTCATAAAAATGCTCACAATTCCAGAAAATGTTCAAGAATTTGAAAAGTTATCTCACCTTAAAATTTTACAAGCAATTTCAAAAATAAATCTTGTTCTGAAAAATAGTTCATAGGTTCAAAAAATGTTTGCGTTTTTAAAATTTTCCTGGAGTTTTAAAAATATTATGGCTTAAAAAAGATCATGATTTTCAAAAAGTGTTCGTGTTCTAATTCTAATTTTTTTTCCTTGCAAACTTTAAAAAATGTCCACGTTTGAAATTTGAGAAAATGTTGGGATCCGCCCCGGTCGTTAGCTCTTCAGGCTTTGAGCAGTACACTTGCTGAAGGGGCAGCCCAGTCGTACTCCGCTGTGCGCGTGGCGCGAAAGAAACCGGCGTGGCGCGTGCTGCTAGTTATTTTGGCCCAGCCGTGCTCCATGCCGAGGAAAAGGCTACTCTCTATAACTGAATTGAGGGAGCTCCTAACCGGCGCTCTCAGCGCCGGTTTCTCGTATCAGCGCCCAAAGCCGATCCGACTGGGCCGGCCCAGCAACAATCCGCCCCGGTCGTTAGCTCTTCAGGCTTTGAGCAGTACGCTTGCTGAAGGGGCAGCCCAGTCGTACTCCGTTGTGCGCGCGGCGCGAAAGAAACCGGCGTGGCGCGTGCTGCTAGTTTTTTTGGCCCAGCCGTGCTCCATGCCGAGGAAAAGCCTACTCTCTATAACTGAATTGAGGGAGCTCCTAATCGGCGCTCTCAGCGCCGGTTTCTCGTATCAGCGCCCGAAGCCGATCCGACTGGGCCAGCCCAGCAACAATCTACAAGGGCGCGAAAAAAGCAAAAAGAAAACACCCTAAAAATTCGTGCTCAGCAAGCATCAAACTCTCGGCGTTAGAACAGCGAACAAGAATGCTAACCACCTGAGCTTCTTTGCACTACTGACCAAATACAGGCAAAGAACTTTAAGTACACTACTGTAGCGCTTTGATTTTTAATTTTTTTCAAAACATTTGGCAAAAAGTTCATAAATTACAGAACAGTTCATTTGTTTTGAAACAAATTAATCGATTTTGAAAAAACTTTCACGATTTGAGCAAAAAATCTATCGATTTTGAAATAGGTTCATCGTTTGAAAAAATAGTTCACGAATCTGGAGAAAAAGTTCACAGATTTGAAAAACGTTCATCAAAATTCAAAAAAGGTTCATCGATTTTGAAAAAAGTTCATCAAATTTTTTAAAAGTTCATCGATTTTGAAAAAAAGTTCAGCGACATTGAAAAAGTTCATCGAAATTTGAAAATAGTTCATCAAATTTGAAAAATAGTTCATCGAATTTTAAAAAAGTTTATGAATTTTAGAAAAAGTTCATCAATTTGAACAAAACGTTCATGTACTTGCGAACCAATTCATCGGACCAAGACAAAGAAAAAAAGAGAACGAAAAAATGGGAGGAGAACGAATAATAGATGAAAATATTAAAAGGTAACTAGATCCCTCCCGGCGGCCACGTGGTTACACTGGTGTTCTTTGACGGGTAGAGGTACTTGTTTCGAATCCTAGCAGCGCCTTTCTTTTGCGGATTAAGACACAAACGAAGACACGTTAGATGGGCCGGCCCAGCCTGACGCGGGGGTGTGCGCCCGTTTGCGCCCATGCCTGTAACGGGCGCAACGGGCGCCGTTTAGGGAATGCCCTGAATTGAATTGAACCGAAACATCGGCTCCGACCCCAACTTGCCGCCACCATCTACTCCGTCGGTGGTCACAGCTAGGTGTACATAACTACTCCCTCCGTTTTCAAAATAGATGACTCAACTTTCGAAATTGTAGGAGCACTCGGCGACTACCTCCCTTGGAATCTGTTCCATCAATTCTCCTCGGGATCCGAAATCACTATATTAGCTGTTTTGTATTTAGACATTTTTCCTCGCGTATTTATCATGCACTGCAATGTATGTCCGTACTAAAGTTCGCGCATTTCTGTTCCTAGGCAGAGAAACTTCTGTCCAAACGCGAGACTGCCTACATGCACCATCTCCCCATCTTCCCAACTACCAAACATTGTTAAATGTAGACAATAAATCAAGTAATCATTGAGTCCTAGAGCACTGCCTGCCCCCATTAGACGGACTATGTAATTCCAATTACCATGCAATTTATTTAATATTTCATGTTTCGTGTCTACTTGTTTGCAATACTAATATCATTTTCACTTTAGCAAATCTCTATTTATTTCCTTTTCTCTCCATCACTCTGCTACACTTCCCTTGAATTATTAAAATAAAATTGCCTGTACTCATCTGGTAGGACTTATTTGTTACACAAATTGATTTTTCTTAAACCTCAAATTAAAGGTTTGTCTGTACTGTCACATAACTAATCGACGTAACAAACTTTATCACACGCAGCTCAGATATCTCATTTCGTCCCGTGCACAACATGCATCCAGCCATTTGCTCACAACTACCATGCAAACATTAAATGACTGCATAAATTACACGCCAATTCCATGTACCATGTCCCACCATACTGACCAGCCAGCACTCCATCGCTTTACCACAATAAAAGCAGTTTCAACAATCTTTTTAGTGAGCGGGTTGTGTAGTAAGAATATGAATGATTTTCTTTAAAAACAAGCTAGTTTACCTTCCATGGAAGCCGTTTCCCGGATGTAGTGAGCCGTTTCGTGGATCGAGCTGGGGATCTGGCGACGGAATCATATCTTTTCTCCAAGATGTACAACTCCTCGGACTTGTACCAAAACAATATCTCTTGTCTGGTTAAAGAAAAGGGATAGTAGATCGTTGTGGAAGAAGAACAGTATGATTCGTTGAGAACTTTCTTCCCTCTCCTCAGATATGGCAATGCAGTCTTCCTGGGGTCGGGCTTAACTCGTGAAGGTATGTGCATGAGTGTTGAATTGATTATGGTGGCTGAACTGTACAATGCTCTAATGGGCCCCTATGAAGTTACAGTTAATGCCGATGGACAGGTACAAATTGTTCAAGCATACGCTACAGGTCGTGTATAGCTAGGGAAAACTATTTTACAATTATGTTGCACACATCCCGAGACAGTGCAGCAGCGGACATGATTTCGGTGGGTGGAGTCGTCGAGCGCTCTTAGTCCGTGTCCACTCAACTTTGTATTAATTTGGGTCATTTATTTTGAAACGGAGTAAATACATATATACCGCCGTGGGATCGACTGGTCGCGGGGGTTCACACAGGGGTTAATTGGCGCCCGTGGGATCCATCAACCAGGCGGAATGGACGGGCGGATGGGATGGATGGATGAAGCTTACCACGTCAATCGCCCAGATGACCAGATGCAACGCACGTAGCTTTAATTCAAACATTTGGTTCTGCAAATGCCATGCGCCTTCAAGAATGTGGGGGTAAGTAAGTAGGACGAGCATGAATTAACTCTTGAATGTGAACGCATGTGACTAGCTAAGAGTTTGGCCTGGCGATGGAGAGGGAGAAGACGTGGCTAGCTCTTTATAAGACCATGGTTCGGCATTACGCCAGTAGACAAGATCTAAGGTGCAGACTTAGAGCGAGGGTCAACATCTCCTACTAGATCGATGTCAGGAAATGGCCTCATGGATGCTCAAGATTTAAAGGTATGCATGTTACTTTCAATGAACCAATAATGGAGTTTTTATCATTTATGTCACTACTCAGTTTTGCCATTAGAAATC